AATTATAAAAATTGATTTTTAATTAATTAATTAATTAATTAATTAATATCTCCTATATAACTTCCTAACCTTCATTTTTTTTCTTTAGCCCAAAATTTCAAAAAAATTTGAGATATTACACTTATAATCACTAGCCCCTGTCTCATGTATGTTGAATCTGTCACACCCCAGAACCCAAATCCAATGCGCGACAGACGCCGTGCACTCGTGAGACGGGTCCCACAAATGCACAAAGCTCAAAACTTAATCATATCGTACTCTGATACCATCAAAATCTGAAGATCAAAATTTATAATTTGCTCCAATATCATAAAATCTTCAAATACACTCTAGCTTACAAGATCACGATTTATTTCTAAAATCTATGTCAATCTCGAAATGGCTAGCTTTCTACTCGTCACTTCCCGTGGTTTCCCCGTCCTCGATTTCACTTCCTGAAATGGTGGACAAGGAAAACTATGAGATAAACTCAATAAGTAAATATGGAGTGCTCATTATTAAACTTATAGCATGCCAACATGTGCAATCACGCAAAACGGATACAGTACGAGAACGAAATAGACGTCTCCTCTATAAGTCACGGTGAGCGTCTAACACCCACTGGCAAGCGCACTGTTTGCTGGTGTATAATCCCCACAAGCAAGGTCACTATTTGCTGGTGTATAATCCCCACAAGCAAGGTCACTGTTTGCTGGTGTATAACCCCCACAAGCAGGGTCACTGTTTGCTGGTGTATAACCCCCACAAGCAGGGTCACTCAACGAACCGATTCTATCAATAACATGTCGACATGTACTAGCGTTTATAACCTCCCCCACTAGCAGGGTCACTAATAACATATAGACATGTGCCAACATGTGCTAGCGTTTATAACCTCCTCCACTAGCAGGGTCACTAATAACATGACCACATCGGAGACAAAACAGGCAGAAGTTCAAGAAAATCACAATTCACAATCACTTTCAGATCATTAGGACAGTCACTTAAATTTCAAGTAGGCATGCTCAATTTAATGAAAAGCATAAAACATTTCACTTCAAATCAGTCATACTTGTGTAAAACGGGTTTAGTCCCGCCACCACTTCAAAAACAAATCAAAACATGCTTTTAAAAACTGTACGGGCATTACCATAAATTTACTTACCTCACTCGCATAAACTGAAGATTCAATCTCAATGCTAATTGACAGAACGATCGAAAACCTAATCAAAATATCCACAATTAATCATCGTATCACCACAAATTCAAACTGAAATCATCATTAGGATCATCCCCTAATCACAATGCTATTTCTATAAATCTCCACATTATCAGATATCTCCAAATTCGTTCTTATATCACAAACTAATCATTTAAATCCCCGTTAATCGTTGACTCTCAAGGTGCAAACAGTGCCCATGAACAGTGCCCATGAACAGTAACTTCAACTTCCAAACTTAGCAAAACAATAACTAATTCACGGGATTTCACTCCAAAATCACAACAACCCAATTCAAGCTAATTTCCACTTAAATTAAACAAAAACCCACTTAAGCTACCAACTCCCGGGATAAAAAAATGGAGAAAATGGCTCGGCAAAAGCCACACTCACACCCGGGATTTTCTCACACAAAACATCACAGCAGCTAATTCAAGCTAAATTCTACGTAAACAAGCTTAAAACACATTTAAATGCTGTTAAATGCTACAGGAAATTCCTCCTCCATTTTAGCAAAAATTCGGGCAAACACAGGGCAGCACTTAATGGACAAAACCCAACAATTAAATGGGTAATTTCGGACTTAATGGGGCTGTCAACATACCTGAATTCCAGCAAGCAAACCGGAGCTGACAGGGAGAAGAAGCCAGCGGCATCTGCAGGGGAAACTCACGGAAACTACCCAAAATTCAAGAACCACAACCAAAAATTAGAGTAACCCAAGTTAAATCAAGGCTAAGGGGATGATTTCTTGGCTGTGGCTTACCCGAAAAATGCCCAGAAATTCAAACCCACAGCAGCCGGCGGACAAGGAAGAAGAGCAGAGCAGAACCAGAATTTTCTGGGTTGAGAGGGAAGATTCTAAGCCCCAAATCTTGTGATTTAACAAGAAAGGAAGAGAAATTCATCAAGATCTCACCGGGTTTTTCAAGGGGGAAGAAGGTCGGTGGCTTGGGGGGCTTCGGGAAGAAGAAGAATGAGCAGATGCGCGGGCTGGAGAAGAAAGAAAGAAGGAAAAAGAAAAAGAAATGAAGCCATCCTTATCCAAATTCTTTTCCCTTTTTAAGTCCCTCAGCTTTCAGAATATTCACATTAAACCCCAAAACAATCTTTTCTCACACAAAGGTCCTTAACTTAAGCTAAAATATCACAAAATTTTGGGGTATTACAGAATCTCATGTATTAATTTATATATATATTACAATACTTTAAATCAAATCAATTAATTAATAAAATTTTGATAAAATTGAGAAGTAAAACAATATACATGTACTTTCCAATAGATGAATCAACTTTATTTGGTATCTTTTCTACTTGCTGATCAATTGCATTATCACATTAAGCATCTGCAAATGAATTATGTACATTGACTGCTACTTGACCATTACATCCAATAAGCAATGAAAAATTAAGCATGAATACATGAACCAATGTTGAGTGAGCATGCCAGAACACGTAACCACAACACATTAACATGTTTTTATTATAAAGTAAGAACTCTCAAATTTTGACAGACTAAGATGGCAAGTCTTTTGCAATTTGATTTAGCAAATTACTATTGAAATTTCATACTTCGAAAATGTAAAACGAAACAAAAAACCATTTACATGTAGTAAAATAATAAGAAAATTAAGTTTTATAATGAATATTTAAATGATCAAGTGATTCTTTTTTGTTTTTTGATGTTTCTGTTAGACCTCTTTTAAAGGGAGGCTTTACTCTAGAGTTTAACAACAACACACTAACCTATTTGAGAGCACTTTGTTGACATCTCTAGCAATAACAACCATGTCACCAACATCTTCTAAACCACTGGATATTTAAATATTTTAATAAAATTATTATAAATTTAAATTATAAATAAATTAAATTGAAAAACAAAACAAATGACAATAATTCATACAAATTTTAAAAGCAAACTAGTTTTCCAGAGAAAAAGGAGCATTCACATTTGATGGAGGCTTTGCAAATTTAATAGTTTGATTTAGAATATCACTGGAAATAAAATATGAAAAACAAAAAATAATTAGGAGCATATACGTGGAAATAAACATTATTAATATTTAAGATATTAAAATAAGAACTTGAGAGAAAACTCTGTTCCAGATAGAATGCTGTCAAAAAAACCCAATTGAAGTTAATCAAGAATAGGAATCAAGAATGAACTATTTTTTGGTATGCCCCTATTCAAAGGCTTAAGATCACCTCCATTTTCTAGTAGGTTAGCATTTGAAGTGGCAGCATCAACTTCATTAGAGACATTAGAAATAGAATGGCCAATTGGTATAGTTCTTTTTTTTTTTTTTTAATGATAATTATATTGATATGAGAATACAAGGGATACTCTTGTCCATTTATAGAAGGGTAATACATATCAATAACCCTACTCCAAAGATTAATTTGTTGCTACATACTGAGTTACCTGGGCAGGATAACCTTCTTAACCTTCTTTGCTTTTGCAGATTTCATACATAAAAACGGATGTAGTCTATCCATTAAAGAGACCACTTCATCCTTGAACTGGTATGCTAGTCTAAAGGAAGTCAAAATCATTATGAACTACAAAAGAGACTACTTTTGTAACACACCTCCTTTAAGTACCATTGGTCCTATGGGAGTGTTTAACTAGAAAAATTAGAAAAAAATAATGTAGCGGAAATAAAACACTTCTAAAATATACAACATTTCCTTGTAAAAGAATTCTGTTTATATATCATATAAAATATAAATAATGGAAGAAGAATACTTGTAAATGGAAAACTAATTTAGCAAAATGTATTTTAAAAAATATATATAATGCTCAAAACAATAAAATAACATAGGTTGAGCTCTTTCTTCATTAATTTAGATATCATATATATAAAAGCAATTTACAAAAAAATTATATGAGAGCAAATGCTTTTCAAAAACTTTTTATAATAATAAAGCAAAATCATCGTTTTGGTATCACATTGATCTGCTTTCACATCAAAAGCACTGAGGTCTTAGCTTTTACATAGAATGAGCATACAGGACCTATATCGAAAGCTCTCAAGTTGGGTGGCTACTACTCTAATCTACTAATTTGAAATGGAGGGAAATATCATGAGTTAAAAGCCTAGTAAGTATTAAGTTCAAGTTACAAACTTGGGTCCTAGGACTCTTAGACCTACACACATAGAAAGCAAAATAGACAATTAAATCAAACCACATAATATTATAAATCTTAGTATTTAAATAATAATTTAATATCATAAATTAGTTTACAGACAATCAAACATGTCAAGGAATAGCTAATGACATTTAATCAAATTCATATCATAAAACCATATACTTATAATGTGATGTCACAAGCAAAATGTATAAAACAAAAATCATACAATGCTATAGAGTCCACTAATATGTGCTAGTAACACTTATACCGGAGTTAATCACGGCACTCACCCTACTGTGCAAAGGTCCATTAAATACCCCTGAAGGCCCACTGAATACCTCAAGTTTTAAGTTTACGTCCACTTACTCCATAGCCACAAACACATATACATATCAAACAAATTCACAACACATCCAAAATAATATAGGAATATTATTTCATTTAATATTTCATTTAATTAACTGCTTTTCCAAAGCAATCCACTTTAAATATCTTGTCTAACTGTAGATTTCACTAACAAAAGTTAAATTGATTTCTTAAGTTAACAATGCAATTAATGCATGATTAATCAACCAAACTCAAGTGCAACAAGTCATAGGCAGCACGCAAACTCCAATTAAGCATTCACAGGTTTTGCTTTATCATGAAATTTCTAAAAGTCTTCACATAAATGTACAAAGAAATATCAAAACAACAATAGTAAGTAATTAACCAATAAAATTCACACAAGATTCAAGTATAAAACCAAAACCCATCTTTAATTGAAGACTATACATATACCCAAAAATCCAAATATTTCTAAACAAAATTCTAATATCCAAAAATCTCTTAAATAGAAGATTTAGAGCCAGATTTTACTAATTGAAACTAATTTTTAGTATATTATAGCAAAATCTATAATTTAGCCAAAACTCTAACCCAAATCTATAGCTAAAACTCATACTTACCCATAAAAAGCAAAACACCAAATTGAAGAGAACAATAGAAATTAATAGTAGAAGTTGAAGAAGAAGATCAGTAGCTAGTCCGCTCTATGCTGCAATCTAAAAAAAAATCTCCTTTCTTAGTAGAAGCTCAAAACAGTAAAAAGAAATTGGTTCTCAGGAGTTTAAGTTAAAAAGAGATTTTTCTTTCTAAAATCTTCTAGAAGAAGCTCGGGTGCTCCACCAAACTTTCTTAATTCAAGACA